TTAATATAAATTTGTGCATCGCATGGGCAAAGACTCGTAATTAATAAAGTTAACTAAGTCAGTCTACATGTTACTGAAAAACAATCAATATGCACTTAAAGCTTGGGATTTTCATGGACGCAAAGTGTTAGTATGCATAAGCTTGATGCTATGAAATGAAGGCTATTAAAGACCACTGCAATATTGTTTTTCCATTTCAAGTAGCGACTTGGAAACATTATTAACGAACAGTAAGAAGCAGGACGATATTTCTGAATATTATCACCATAACGATAGAATTTAATCATCTCTGAATCCAACAAAACACAAGGACACAAAGACAGTACAAAAGAATCCTATTAGAAGTTATTTCTTAAAATTGAATCTGCATATATCAACGACTGCTAAGTAATACAACCAGCATCTTCTTCATTGGCTATCCATGGAACAGATCTGACAAAATGCTTAGCAAAATGAGTTCCATCAAATTGGTCTGCAAAGGTAAATAATATAAAGATCAACGCAAGAACATAAAACAAAGACTGAACAAAGATAAGCACAATAATCAAGCTTAAATATTATTTAGAGCTCGTATGAAACAAAGAATGTCAAAAATAAAATATAAAGTAGCATGTTGACCTGACATCTTATTAGCAAATAATATCCTAAAATATTCACGGTTATAACACCTAGAAAATCAGGAAGTATGGTATTGTCAAGATTCTCAATGAAGAAGTAAAAATGAAAACCTAGGAGAAAGAAAGAAGAAATAAATTCGAAGTGCAGCAAAGAAACTTTCACAATCGAAATTTTGATTTTTGATTGGTAAATTTTCCAAACTTCTCTTCCAATTACTTACTAAAGCAGTAAAGCTCCAAGTTAGTGAATATATAAACCTAATTGAAGTTCTTTAATGTTAAAATTTACAACCAATTAGTCTTAGCGATAGTTAATCGACCAAAACTTCACCCAACAAAAATACAAAACTAAACCTAAAGTGCAATTAATTCAAGAACATAAGAGCAACTCAAGACTAATATTCTAAATGCAGTTAAAACGAAGAACAACTAATAACACCTAAATTGGAACACCTAAGGCAAACAAAAGCTCCAAAATTCAGCTTACACAAATTCAAAACTGAATTGTTAAAAGTTAGAGCTTGTTTGGGAGGGATTAAAATCAGATTAAAATTGAAAATATAACCATTATTGTTGACTTTTATTAGACGAGTGGGACCCAATAACGGCCATATTTTCAATTTTAATTGGATTTTAATCCCTCCCGAACGGGGCCTTAGTTTGTTTTGCTAACAAAAATTCAAAAACAGACTTTATAAAAAGACACTCTTTATTGAAAATTAGAGAAGTTCTATCAAAGGATACTTGGGGACCATTCTCTACCAAAAAATGAATAGTTGGGTTTCTGCCCGGAGATGGCTTAAGGTGCCATTGACTGATTATTTGAAGCAAACCCTCCTCCATCACCGTCGCCAACACCAATTGGCCAAAACCCTCATCCAACCCCCGTAGGTCGAATGCCTCCACCACCACCAATTGGTCAAAGTCGTCGAGCACCAACCCCAAAAATCCTTCATTGTCCCCACGATCAAATTGTCTAAATTCTCTATCACCACTTTCTGGAGGGTATCTCGAAGGACTATCAAACAGCCTACGATTTTCCCTCCCACCACCACTTGAGAATCAACTCTGATAATTTATCGAGCCAGTATGCCTCCTTCTTCCATCACCGCGGTAACTATTTTCTTCACCACCAACGTTTTCGGCGTCTGAGAATCGAGAGGAGGGAGGACCTCAGGACTGTCTGTTACTACTATAGCTATGAAATTTTTTGTTGCTATTATTATATTTATCTCCACCTATATGCCAATTGAATTTGTCCATTGAGAGTGCAATCAAATTCATTAAATTAAGAAAGAGAACGAAGAACAAATACCCTAAATCTGTTCCTATTTATAAAGTTGAGAAATTTTGAATTGCAGAGGAGAAAATGAATTTTGAAAGCCAAAGACGGAAGAGTTAGAACACGGGTATTGGTTTAAAAAATAATAATAATAATAATATTGACGATAAGAAATTACGACACGTGTCCAGCATGAACGGTGCCCAAAGTTAGGCTCTTTTTTATATTATATAGTGACTAATGAGATGAACGTGCAACGCACGTGCGAAGTGTAATTGGTTACATAATAGCTTAGAAAAAATAATTATTTGTAGTAAGCATTAATTACATCAAACTTAACATATATTGCTAAATATTTTGAGGCAACAACATTGCAAAAACGATGTATTGAAAACCACAAATTATGTTCGAGGAGAAAAGTAATGTGTTTGAAGAGACAAAATTGATAACATATATTGATTGGCAGAATTCTAATTTGCACTCGAAAATAATTTATTTGTTTTGACTGTAGTAATGATCATACAACACAACGAGAAATTAATGAACTTTAATGTACGCTGAACCTCTTGCAACGCAAAAAGTAGTCTCAATTTACTTATTCACGACTGCATGATTCTTGAACCAGTATAGCAGGAGCATTGAAAGTCATCCCATATACATAAAACCAAAAATCTGCCCTATCTCTTAATTAATTGACCAAGAAAAATTATAAAATAATATTCTAAGGTGCAAACAAATGATGATTTATACATTTCAAAAGCTGCACTTGATAAACCATCATAGTTAAGTCACAAGCCAGAAAAGCATTATGAAGCTTGTTATACATTCTTGCTAAGTTCAAACTTCATGAAGGATTTTTCATGCAAAAGTAGTGCTACAAAATAAAACTAAAGCATGAGGAAGTTTGCTCCTTAAGTTTGTGAAACATAAGGAACATATTTTTACCTTGGGAACAAACAACGCAGTTAGTCTTCTCTGATCAATTTTTTCATCTTCATATAAAATTTCTATGCATAAACAATAGATATGCATACATTATCTTAAAGAATATAGAATAATACAAATTTAACAGTCCAAATGAAACATTAAAAAATAACTACTATCGAAAACCATTCAAATAGATTAGTAAACAAAGATACATAACTAAGATAAAGAATTGTTTCAAAAATAGAATAATTTATATTTTAGTGATAAATCAATTTTAAAGGGGTCAACGACTTAATAAGTTGCCAGAAGTGATCATTAATTATTCTACGAATACTGAAATATCTCCTATTTCAACAAGCCAAAGGATAAAGTTTTTCAAATTTCACCTTTTCAATAACCCAAAACAAGAAATCTATACAAGATTTGATATGAATGTAAAATACATATTTTTCCTTCCTTATTTTATGTGCCAGTATGATTAGTCAATGCCAAAATGTACTCATTACGTTCATATTTTTATTTAGGTGGCAATTCTATGGATATAGTGTAATTTAGAAGAAATAAGCAAACATGACCAAAATGAAAGAAAACAAAGTTTGGGTCTTTAGTGTTTATAGGTTTTGGGGGTTTTTTTTTTAAGGTTGTGGATTGGGAATTTTCTGAATTTCTTCATAGAAAATATTTTTTGGGAGGAGTTTTCTGAATTTCTTCCACAGAGGATGCTCAGTTGACTCCTTTATTACGTCTGGGAGATGGAGCTTGTGCTGGAATAATTGCTATGTTTGCAACATACACGATGGACATGGTTCGAGGAAGACTAACTGTACAGGTATTGAGAGTCATCTTAATCATCTTAAAAATCGTCCTTTTTAGAAATCAAGTTGGCCTTCTCTGAGAACAAATGCAGTTTCTGTAGTGTATTCCAGATCATATTGCATATTCCTTTTCTCGTGTTGCAGACAGACAAATCTCCCTATCAGTATAGCGGAATGTTTCACGCTTTGTCAATTGTGCTTTGTGAGGAAGGTTTTCGTGCTCTGTACAAGGGTTGGCTTCCTTCTGTAATTGGAGTCGTAAGTTCAGGAACTATTATATCTATGTAACTGATAGCCATGACAAGTCTACAACATTTTGCTTCAGTCAACTTACATAAATTGATGGGAGTATTCCCAAGAAGACTAGGAAGAGAACTTTGATTGTGATTAAGTTACTAATTTTCAACCTTCTATTATATGCTAAATCTTCAAACATTTGCAAGTTTTCTGTTGTTCATTTCGAATCATATCACGAACCTATAAAACTTCTCTTGATGACAGTGCATCCTACTTCCTATCTTAGCTGTTTTCTGCTAAATGGCATTTCTAGTGGGAACTAATTGTGTACGTCTATACGGACTTCTGGTTGGAGGATCTAGGCCATTTTTATATTAAAGATTCTAAATTCTTTGACATATATTGGATCCAACATCTTCTGTTCTGCTTGCTGTTTTCATCGCAACTGTAGGTTTGGCTCTCTCAACTTTAGGTTCCCCTCTAAGTTTTGATATGTTTTCATTGAGCTTGTTTTACTGAATGTGTAGATTTTGGATGGGCAAGCAATTGGATTTTCCATGCGTGTTGTCTTATGCGGCTGTTCTAACTTCTAGAATTAAAAGAAATTACATATTACTACTTTTGTCCAGGATGGG